TCCTATTCCCGGACTCAATAACCCGGCTGGGTTATGAGAACCAAAAAATTAATTTTGTCTGGCCTTATGTAGTTACTGAGAAATTTAATTTTGTAATCCTATATAATTAAAATAAAAAAATTTTCATCGAATTTGGTTTGATATTCATCAAGGAAACTTTGCTTAAAGTTTTAGCGCCAATAAAAAATAAGCTGTGGCAATTTTTTTTTAAACAATAAATAAATAATTCTCAACAACTACATAACCAAGTTTGATATATATATATATATATATATTATTTTGATTCTATAAACGCGTAGAATTAAAATAAAAAAAATTTCTTCAACTTTGGTCAGATAATCGTTGAGAAATCTTCGCTTAAAATTGAAAAAAAGAAAATTTTACTACGGCTTTTTGATTTTTTCAAAGATTAACTTTTTTTTTCAAAATTTAAGCGAAGTTTTCTCAACAACTATCTAACCAAATTCGATAAAATTTTTTATTTTAATTCTATTCACTTATAGAATTAAAATAAAAAATCGCTGAACTTAGTTAAGTATTTATCGAGAAATATTGGCTTAAAGGTTTAAACAACCTCTAAATTTTAAAAGGATTTTTGGGATCAAAGAACCCAGTGATATCTTCATGATAATCACATCACATGATTACCTGTGTTATCGTGCTTGTCCAAACCCAGTTCGAGCCTGTTTGAAACACAAACCCGTTAAACTCGAGTTTTGTGATCATGTGATTTTAATTAGAAAATTTTAAACTCAATACTGTTCATAGTGCTCAAATCGAGTTTGAAATCGATTTCTCAAGCAAAATGTTTCACGATTTTTTAATTAAAAGCTAATTTCTAACGATATATATTACGTATAATAAGCATTACGCAATTTTTTATTTCTTCGTAGAAGGATTTTCAATTGCTATAAATACGTTGTTTTTGGTTTTTTATTTTTATACGATGGTTGAAGAAAAAGCACTTGAAAATTTTAATAATATTGATCTTACCTCCACATCAATGCCAACGTTATCTATCTCAACATACACCTGAACCGGAAGTATATAACTAGTTTTAAGCTAATATGCTCAGGAGCACATAAATAGTTTAAAGCAGAGTTTGAAACCCAGTTTATGTACGTGGTTCGAAACAGTGTTCGAACGGGTTTTAAGCACATTTAAGCAGGATAACATCCCTAGGTGATAGGTTAGCTTAGGCTAATTTGTTTAGTGCTAGTAAACTAATGACATAATTGCATGATTTCATGTGACGTTATGATCACTGGGTTCAAGTGTCCCAGATTTTCATGATCATCCGACCCGGAATCCTCCTGTAAAAAATGGGTCAGAATTTAAAATAGACAAAAACCTACTAAAACTATATTACACAATTTACTATATAGGCATATATATATATATATATATAATATATAAATAGTAAGTTCTTACCCAGGTCGTCTGACCCGTGCGGGTCAGCTTCTTGAGAGGTCACGTATTTCCCGATGTAGAAAATGCGAACTCAAATCACGAGCATGATCGTAAAATTTTTTCAATATAAAATCCAATTTAAATATTCGGAAGTACAGCTGTTTTCTATACAAATTAAGAGTCGTTGCATTAACTTTTAAGGATTAACTTCAAAAACTTTATGAATTTCCGTTTGACCGTTGACTCGGGTTATAACCTGGATCAATACCCTGACCCTCCCGAGCTAACCCGGGTAAGAGCTCTAATTTAAATACTGTATATAAAATTTATTAAATGAATAGTGAAATTATAAATATAATCAACTCTTTATGACAGTTATATCCGGAGTTCATTACAGAGAAGTTGTTATATCCAGAGTTGACTATCTTAATATACTTTCTAAATTATCTTGTTAGTACTTGTGGTAGCCTTGTTATTTTAAATGATATATGGATATATCTTATAAAATTTTTTAAAGAAAAGCTATAAAATTAAAATCTAGAACTTGAATGTAATCTGATTTGATAATTAAATGAATTTATTTTTTTTGAATAAATAAAATAAAATAAATATTTAGTTGAAAAATAGTGACTTTGTAAATTTCGTGTTATCAAAATATACGAGCTCAGATCAAATTTTTTAGGGTACGTACGTATCGGTATGTGATTTTGGTAGCGAGTTATTCCCCCGGTTTACTGAGGAAATAAATAACAAACGTTACTGAAAATTTATTTTTCACTGATTAAAATGATCGCTAAATCACCGTCTTACTATCATATCGATATGAAACGCGTATTTGAAACCCGGAAAATTTTAGAAGTCAAACAGGGGTTGGTCATACGAATTTCTTCGAATTTTTATGTTACACTTGATTTTTTTATAACCAGAATGATTTGCACAAAGTTCTTATTGCGCCAAACTTACTTAAAAGGATAGCAGGGGAAAAAAAAGTATCCGAGATTTCCAATTTAAGAAAACTTATGTTTCATAAAAAATATTGTTAATCACCTTATTTAGATATAACAACGTAATTAAATATATTGGAAATCGCAAATATTTTTTCATAACGATAACTTAAATACTGTAGTACCAGATATGTTAAGCGTGTTTACCCCGCTTTAGCGATCCCGGATTTAATAAAAAAAATAAACTAAATACGTGAAAATTTATAGCCATTATTATCAGGAGCTATGCGTAATTATCACTTACTTTTGCCTTTTTGATTAGTGAGTCAACAAATATCTGTTTCGGTTCTTTCGCACATCGTATCATTTAAGTGAGACCATTCCAAATTTGAAAGATTATTCCAGACTACACGATTATTAGATTTTTTATACGTTTTATAATATCTTAAAAGAGGTTTAAATACTTTTACTATGAAATATAAATAATTATTGCCATTAGAAGTCCAACCCGGATAAATCAGTCATCCGTTTATCCGTATCTGATTATCCTGATAATTCAAATCGCTCAGATTTTTGGATAATCCGACAGGTATTCGAATAATTATGGATATCAATAGTAAAATGGATAGGAACACTAATTGCCATATTCTATTTGAATTCCGTGACCTTATATTACAATTTAAAAAATTTGAAACATTTATCTAACATTTAATAACCTTTAAGAATTGATAATGGAAAATTTTAATTTTTGTAACGTTTATTTTAAATTACAAAATTTTAAGATTAGTTCGAAATTTTAGTATGAATTGAAAGTCTTAAAGACATTTTGCTTTTAGTCACATGATCTAGTCCATTGCTTAATTGCTCCACCACTGCAATGACTAAAATATTAATCTATTTAATAATATATTATTTGAGTTATTTAGAATAAAAATGTTTTTGTTATGTAAAGAAATGCCCAATTTTGCATAAAAATTATAGTCCGATACGTGACTGTAATAAAAAATAAAAGGGAAAATCTGTGCTTTCGATATGCCCAAATATTTGATTTGACAATAATGTGTAAAAATAAATTATCTACAGATTGTATAATTACCATTTCGCATTATAATCACATACTGTATCTTGTGCGTACATACAACAGTTAAATTAACCCGAACACGAACATAATATGCACAGGCTCGTACGTACTTTTACAAAAGATTTACGCAAAAATCTCTTCCAATTATTTGGTAATCCAAATACTATGATTATTAAAATTCCTTGAAATCCACCAACCCAATCAGTTACAGTTAAACCAGTTGGAATAGGATGTCCATTTATAATCCCTATGACGGCACCTGTACTTGCTAATAAATTAATAAGTGCAAAAAAAGATGCAAAAAGTACCATACGTATTGCTGCTGCTTTTGACATGTCATAGTTTCTGGTGTTTTTTGTAAAAAATGTGGACCGATTTCCTGGAAAGGATCTAAATTGTGATAATCTATTAATTCGTTGATGGGAAGGTTCTAAATTTAATATTGTTCGTTGATAGGAAGGATTTAAATTTGACATGAAATCGTCATTTGCTCGTTGATGGGAAGG